ATAGACATAGACATATTATATTAATTTATTGTAACATCTATATATATATATATATATATATATATATATATATATATATATATATATATGTATTTCTTTATTTATTAGGTAATAAATGTTGGTCTTTATCATTTAACTTATTGAATATTATGAAATGAGAAAGACGCTTTTTTCAAATATTATTTTGAAACTTATATTTCATGACCCCTTTTCTTCCGCTATTAATTTATTCTATCAAGTAAAATATTAAAAAGTCATATTACGTAAAAGGAGAATAATTTAGAAAAAATGCTGGTTTTTATTATATTATCAAACATCCATTCGGTAACTTTTTATTTGAGTCACTCTAAAATCATAATCTTAAGTCAGATATCGATGTTGTACTTTTTACGTCATATATATTTTCATTTTTAAGATAAATTAAAAAGTATTAAGTATTTTCATTACATGTAAATATATGTCACGACAGATATTTAACATTATATAATCATTTATATTTGATAAATTAATGCTTTATGTAACATTACATTACAGTCCTACAAAATGAATTAATTTAAAAAAAATCTGCATTTGTAAATTCGTATAATGTATGAAAATATTATTTAAATATGTCGCGTATAAATATTTGACACAATTTCATACAAATGTTTAAATGAATTATTAATTAAATACATTTAAAATAAGTACAGTATAATATTGAAATTCAATCTAATTTCGATTAGAGTAATAAAATTATGCATCACGATTTAAAAGACATTTTATCTGTTTATTAAACATGTATATATATATATATATATATATACATGTACATACATATATTTTAACTAACATATACATTTACCATTAAATTGAATTTTTATAAAAAAAAAAACTTTATTTTCTTGAAAATTAATTCTGCCGTTCCATCACAGCACACAATAATCAAGAATATTTTTACAATTCTGTCGAAATAGATTTATACACTAATTAAATGGAGTTGAAATATGCGTCGGCAAACAAAAAAATTACATAAAGTTATAACCATACAGTATTGAAAATATATAAATCAGTTGAAAAATCGGAAAATATTAGAGAAAATTTCAATGAAAAAGCAAATGCTTCTTTGGATTAACTTAAATTCTTTTCCCTAATAATGTACAGCTTGTTTGTACTTTCCAACTTTCATTCCTGCCCGAGAGCTAACCTTCCGTGGATAATTCTATCAAAATCTCCCTTCTTTTACTCATTCTCTCTCTCTCTCTCTCTCTCTCTCTCTCTATCTCTCTCTATCTCTCTATCTCTATCTCTCTCTATCTCTCTATCTCTCACTTGCTCTTTGTATTTTTATTTAATTCTCAATTAGCTAATATATATGTATGAAAGAAAGATACTTTCTACTGGCATTGGTGCAAACCCTTATATTACTAATGAAGATTCGTGGTTTCGGAGTAATTCCTAAATAAAGATCTACGATGTAGGTACTAAGTTTCACTTAGTGCTCGAGGTGGAATATAAATGGAAATTACGCATCGCTACCTTTCTACTCTCTCACAATCCCTCTTTTGCTCTTTCTATTTTCCATACTCGGCATGTTCTCCATCGATTTAATTTTTAAAATTTAAGCAGCTTTATAATTGATATATTATCTAATTTTTATTGTAAAAGTTTATCAATGAGAAAAGAAATTTAGATGGTTTAATATCAAATGAAATAAAGTTAAAATGTTAAAATATTCTTTAAATAATTATATAAATATTTCATGATTTTTTAACACATTTATTGTATTTCACAAAAAATGTATAATAATTTAAAATATGCATTAGCATAGTTATGTAAGCATTTATTTGTCAGATATTCTTTTTATAAAATTTATCCACTAATTTATATGAATTCCCAAGTGCTAATTAAAAATTTATTGAAAATATATAACATTATGTAACAAATTAGTTTTGTAGAAGCTCGCAACTTTATATCTAATTTATAGAATGTAATTTACATCAATGTGATAAAAATTTTATTTGTAATATTTGTTTGTACAAGAATACCAAGTATGTATAGGTGATATATTTAAAATATATTTTAAAAATTACTCAATTATGTTATTAGTAAATTGAAATCTGCTTATAAGTTTTTAAACATAGTGACTGAACGAATGAACTAAAGTGACAAAAATATATATTTAAATTTGAAATGTAAATGGCAATATAAATAGAATTTGTCTTCTCAAACTCGTCCTTCACGTGCATTTTTTACTTTAATTCGCTATAATATTTATGAAATAAATTTGTGATTTTTATAATATAGGAAGCCAAATGGCAAATCTAATAAAGTCATTTGTTTGTAGAAAAGGAGGTTTTGGAATAAAAATTTCAATGTTAATTTATGAAATATAATTTTGATTAGTCAACAAATAAGTTGATTCTTAAGTTATATCAATCTATTTAATTGTGTTAAACTATTATTGCATGATTGCATCATGAAAATAGATTAGTATTTATAATTAAACAATAGAATTATCCTCAACAATCACTTATTTTCGTTGCTTTTAGTACTTTTTTTTTTTTTTTTTATGACTATACATTAATACAGCCGACGATTATCCTACAAATTATATTATTGTATATATCAAAAACACTATTAGTAAACTATGGAACACACTTATAAATTATGTTTATAACGCAACTAGATGAACTTCATGTATAAATTGGTTATATATACCTGTAACAGTGTGAATAACGATAGAATTATTTTCTTTATGTTTGCTCGGACAAATAGAAAAATTATCATACATATATATGTTTTAAAATAATCGTTATATATTATAGCGACAAGAGAGGGAGATAGAGAGAGAGAGAGAGAGAGAGAGAGGGAGGGAGAGAGAGAGCGAGATATATATATATATATATATATATATATAGAGAGAGAGAGAGAGAGAGAGAGAGATAGAGCATCTAAAAGGACAATGGGGAAATACATAAGATGCTAAGCGGCCTAAATACAAGTCCCTGGGGAATCTTTTAGTTTATGTGCTGATCTTCAACCAGTTAAGGTTAAACTGGCGCGATCCTTGCCATTGCAGCTCTCCTGGGAATTTCTGTTCTAGGAAGCGATAACTACTACTGGGCTAACTTTTCCAATAATAATACACGGATCTATCTGCAGTATATAACTTAACACGAAATTCTCTGCATGTTGCCTTCAACAACTATCAAGATAATTTCTGATGGATTATATTTTATTATTTGCCAATCGATCAGTTTTATTACAACTTCCAAACAATTTAATAAAATATAAAGCCATTAATACTGCAAATTTGAAATTGCTATTAAACACAAATTATTTCATTTTACAACTTTGATTGATAGAAAGAATTTTCTTTAAAAATAATTATCAACATATTGTGTATGTTGGTATGTGTATGTAATATTATAATATTGGTGATAAATAGGTAATATAAGACTAAAGAAAGCTTCATTTAATTTTCAGACTAACAGTATTAATAAAAGGGAAATTAATTAAACAAAACTCTTGCCCATGATTTAACGTATATACAATTTAATCTTTTAATTTATTAATTTTCAACTATTGAATATTACATTATAATATATTGTAATTATAAACAATAAAATGGCTTTTGAAATTTCTTACTTTATCTTCTTCAATTTAAAATAATTAAAAATGAACCACTCCTTCGTGTATTGTTGATTTAATGGACTTCACATTTCTGAGGTCTTTCTTTTCATGGATCATGGATCATTATGCGTTGATTCAAATTTCGAGAATGCAAATACAGAATTCATCCGGTTAAAGATAAGTTCTACGGCTAGATTTTGAAGGCAAAAGTCACATGTTTTTCAATGACGTATCTTAAATATAATATGGCACATTTTGAGAATAAAATCTTTAAAATGTGTAATACCTCGGGTTTCCTTCATATACACTTTCAAGTAGATTACATAGAATTCGATAAATGAATTATTTCAGATATATTTGAGAATATATTTTTTATCGGCATGTTACATTACAAAAGCATGATATTAGCGTGATTTTCGTCCTTTTTTAATATTATCGTATATGATATAAAATTATTTAATATATTTATCATTGTAATATATTTTATGAAAACAAAAAAAAAAAAAAAAACAAAAAAAAAAAAATTGCAAATCATACTTAAATAACCAGTGAATAAAAGTCTTTTATTAATGTTATTACAAAAGTTCCAATTCTTTTTCAATTTCACATACATCGTGCAATATTTGAAAAATGTTGTATTTTAAGGTCGAAAGTTAAAATAAATCCTTGCTGTACTTATCACACTCGAAACTCGCATAAAATTTGACAAAGTTACGAGTAATAAATATGCAAGATGAAACTTTTATTATATACGCAAAATCAAATGACTACTTGTTAATTGAATTTTTTTAATAATTGCATTACCATATTAAACTATTATTGATTAATTCAATTTTTTCATTATTAAAAAGAAATATTTCATTTCATAATTAGGTGAGTAATTTCATAATTGCAAATATTTATAACGTATGATTAAATATATAAACTGATTGGGTATAAAAGATTATTATCCATTGCGTTTATATTTATTGTAAGTAATAATATGGAATTATCTAATATTGTTTTAATCATTCGGATAAATTTTGTTCTATTGTTATATTGCCATTTTATTGACTTGTAGATACAGATTTAGAGATTTATTAAATTTCAAATGTTAATGGAAAAGAATTTTACTTACTATTTTAAATTGAAGCTAAAGAAACATATTAGAAATTTAGGTAAAAGCTTCTTTAATCCAATAGACTACATGTAAATAGCAATATAACGTAAATATGGAAATTGCACGATTCAAATGCTTATAAATAAATTATTAAATCCATTTTCGATATCTTCCACTCTCGTCTCAAGATTTTTTTAAAATTTACATATTTACACTCGAGGAAGCAATAAAAATGGGACTATTTTTGTATGTAAACAGAAAACTCTGTGCTTGTAAGCTTACTACTCACCTGACGTTAAAGCAGCGAACAACACGAAAGCTCGTGAAAGTATCGGCACACTGCGAATAAATCGCATATTGATAAGTCGTTGAATTGTCCCACTAGTAAATCACCGTACTTTTTTTATGCATGAGAAAAATTATTCTGAATATCTTATCAGCCACGTAATCGTTGTACTTTACTGCCTCGCAAATCATACTCTTCTCTTTTCTTTAAAATTTTGCCTCGTCTAAACGTTTTAGTGAAATATATCACGTAAGAATTTCAATTCAATAGAAGAGATTACGAAATTATTATAGTGTACATCACTTGGAAGTTGGTCTTTCGATCTTAATTATAATTGTCGAGTAAATTTAAAATCTTCCTTATTATTCTTAACAATAATCATGTTATATGGATTTCAAACGATCAAAGTAAGTGAAATCAACAATAAAAGTACACACAATTTTTATACACAAATTAAATCATATATATATCATGAAATTTTTTGTCAAAAGTATATTCATTCGTTCGAAATTCGTCTAAGATTATATTCACGATTACATAAGTCAGTTCATAAGTGGTAATTAACATTGTAACAGATGCATCTCAATAATCTATTTGAAATTCTCTCTCTCTCTCTCTCTCTCTCTCTCTCTCTCTCTCTCTCTATACATATATATATATATATATATATATATATATCTGATATAGAGCACTAGCAGTCAAAGTATACACGAAATATTAAATATTAATTGAGATAAGTTTTTCAAATTATTTAAACATTATTTAAACGTGAAGATATTTCGAAACTGTATTAATCTTACCATACTATTATTCAATTTTCATCACAACTGCCAAATCCTTAGTTTATATTTGTTATAATGGTTTATTATTATTATTTATCAATAGTTTATTTCATCTTATCGAATCACACAATATCATTAATGTATTTCGTTATAAAAGAACATTAAACTGTGAATAAATTATTCTTAAAATCCGTAAAAATTATATAATCTCCTCCATTACTTTCATATCCTTAAATAAAACAGACTAAAAAATGGCAATTTATTTCAGAAGTAGTGGATTTTTTTTTTTCATTTATTTTAAATTTCGGTCCAAAACTCTGTATCATAAAAATCTTATATTATGTAGAATTATCGTAATAAATTAAATATTTTAAAACAATTGCGGAATGCACATTGCTGATTATCGATTCATTAAAATGTATTTTATTATATCAATGTTTGTTTTCGCAGATATTTTTCATTGTAATTTTGTAGAAAGTAAGCTTCTCAATGCAATGTCAATGATGTATATTAATTTTGTGATTTTCAAAAATCATAATATAAAGTTATTTTTCATGAAATAATGTTTTACCAAATTTACAATAGTTCATAAAATATCGAATTAAGTAATTTTTTCAATCCCAATCGCACTTGCGATCCAATAAAACATGCAATTATCGACAGTGTCGGCAGAGCATAAAAAAACTAATCAATTTGCATTTCCTCAAACAAGTTTTATCATTCTTGATATTAAAATGACATCAACACTGTTTTGCTTATACTTGACAACATACTTCATACTCTGTATTTCGTACGTTTCACTCATGTAGTATTCACCATTTAATTAAACTAAAGCTACCCGATAACTAATCATAATCCGGTGAACTGACATCGGCTCGAATTCGCGCGAAACTCGCCTCCGCATGTCCGTTTTATCTATACACGAATAGCTGACAAATGTGTGGAGTAGCACAGTTCGAGATGAGAATCGAGTGTCGTGGAGTGAGAGGATGAGATATATGATGAGATATAGATGGTAAGTTCGAGAGTTGGAAGAAACTGGTGAGAAGGAGCGAGACAGATAGACGGATAGGCAGATAGGCAGATGGATAAATAGATTGTATAGAGAGACGGATTGCAAGGGAAGACACGCGTACCGCTCGGGGGAGCTCGTGCTCCCTTCCCCGGTTACGCGTCCACTGCGCGCTTACTAGGCTCCCGCGATCAGCGACGACACCATCCGCTCGTTCACTCACCCCACCATGGGTCAGGGTCTACGAGAGCTTGCGCGATGCAGTCGAGTCTGCGCATATTCGGCGAGCTCGGTCATCAGTCGCTTTCTCCGTCTCTCACTCTCTGTCTCTCTCTCTCTCTCTCTCTCTCTCTGCCTCTCTCTCTCTCTGCCTCTCTCTCTCTCTCTCTCTCCCTCTCTTCGGGCTACCTTATTTTTTTATTTTCTAAAAAACGAATTGCTTTCTTAATTAGCGCGAAAAAGGTAAGCGATTTTGTTGTTTTTTTTTCGTCAGCTATTTTCATATGAGAAAAGGCAGAAAAATGTTTAAATGACATTCATAGAAGCACATTGCTATTATCACAGAGAAGATGATATCCGATGTCTGGTACTTTCTACAATTGTCAAATCATATTATTTTTACACAATTAATGAATAATAAAGTATATTTTATAATATTACACGAACATACCATTTATTCTGGTGAGATATGAAAGATTTTATATGGAAAGTTTCCGCATAATTACGTAATATATTTTTCCCAAAGTAACGTGATTATCAAATACTTTTTAGGATTATTTTAAAATTTGATATTTACAATTTATGGGATAGTAAAGAGTAAATTAAAATAAAGTTTTTAAAATACAATATAAAAATACGTGTATTTAGAAAAAGAATTAATTTATCTCATTTAATATTACATTAAATATATAATATAATAAGAGTTTTTAAATATTATCAAATCATTTGCAACTCCTTTATATATAAAAATATTTTCTTCAAATATTAAAAACATACTAGATTTATTATACAAAATCATGAAAATTTTTATCAAATAACGATTGATTATCGTAGAAGGTCGGCAGGTAAAATTACTTTTTCTCCTAAAATAGCCGAACAAACACGATGTATTTAAATCGATAACATTACAATTTAAAGTATAAGTAATTATCATAGATAATATGTAATCGATGGGAAAAATAATATATTATATTTTTTAATTAGCTTAAATAGATAATTATTGATAAAAAATATACTACTAAAAGAAAAAATATATGCACTAAGCTATGCACATACCTTTCTTTCCGCGATACAACAAGTATGGAACTGATATGAGCACATAACTTAAGTTTAAAAAATTGCTCTACATAAATTAAACTACTATTAATATTTTCCAAATTGGTGTACGAGAAATATGCAAATTTCAGTTGGACTACACAAGTCATTCGTAGTTTTCATCTGTTTTTATTTACAAAAATTTACTACGATGTGCACATTACCAGTAAATTTATAAAATATAAATCTAATATATTGAAATTAAAAATTAAAAAATCCATTTAAATAAATTTCATTATTATTATTAGACATTTTTTACTGTAATATATTTGCTAGTACTGCTACTTAGGAAAAAAAAAATACAAACGAAACATTATTTTATCGCATGTTTTTTGTACATTTATTACCATGATTATTTTTAATTAAGAGATTTTTTTAACTAATTTTAATAAAGCAGTCTGTTTATTTTAATAATAAATTTTATTATTTTTCTACATTTATTTACTGAATTAAATGGCTTTATTTTTATTTTTTTTAATTAACAGTAATACAGTTGTATTCATAGGTACATTAAAGGATCTTTTACAAAGATATACATTTTTATAATCACAATATATCTATGGAATTCTGACCACGTGTTCATTAAAAAAATATTTATAATTTCAAGATTGAAAGTCTGTTGGAATTAAATTTAATTTAAAATTTATAATAAGACACGAAAGGAATTAATAATTTTGAAGAAATTTTCATGAATTCATATATTATCATTGCATTTGTTGAATTTAAAATTTTCTACAACTTCGTATCTTCGCAATAATTTTGATATTTACCGAAGGATAATTAGGATTTTGTTACCTAGATCTATGTGATATATAATTAAAAAAATTCATTATAACGTTAATTCTATAAATGAAAAACTTGGATATTAATCTACGTGTAATGCAAAATATATGATAAAAATGTAAAAAAAAAAAAAAAAAAAAAAAAAAAAAAAAAAAGAAATATAAAAATATAATCTGCCCAAAGCAGTCTGTCTTGTCAGTGATCTGGATAGTTATTAGAGTGCTAGTAGAAGTTGCAGCTTTGTGTAATTTGCAAGAAAATGACAATGCTGAGGTAAGCTGTATATTGTCCTATCTGTGCTCGTAAAGTGTAAAATAATGCTGTCATTCTTTCAGTTGACTCGCGTAGCTTCTACAGGACCAGCTATTGTCGAATTTATGGTTGACAGAATGAAGAATATAACGCAGTGATCCATTGAATATATGTGTACTCGTGGGAGTCATAAAAGTGGTAACGAAAATTTATAACATTTTTTCTGCATTATACCCGTTTATATTTGATTAATATAATTGTTTGAGTGTTTGATAATTAAATACAAGGCAGCTATTTGAAATGATCTAATTCAGATAATTTAGACACATGCTTTATGCATAGATATATAATACACGATGTTTTAAGAAAATTTTTAGCAAAAATTTTAATCTAGAAATAGAATGAAATTTACAAAATTAACCAAATAATTTTACTTTATACGATTTAATGAATGGGTATTGTATTAATGGATTTATTTATTTTAAGCAAATATTATGTAATATATAAAATTAACCAGATGCAAAACATCATTTTCATCTTATTATTTATAGAGATTTTACAAGAAGTATAAAATTATTAGAATTATCAAGGCTATAGTGATACATTACCCGTTACACATAATGAAGAAAGACATATTAAGTTTGTAATTAAATGAAAATATTGAACTTAATCGAAATATTTAGTCGATGAGCTCTTATATATTATAATTTTTGTAAATTTAACACATCGTTTGATTTTTATATAAAATCGTGAACAAAAATGTCAGTGGACAGTAGAGGAAGGTTTATTCTCAATAGGTTAATAAATTAATACAAAATTGTTCAATAAATGATTGTTTATTAAAAAAGTGTAACTTTTCATATATTATATGTTCAACGCAGACCCAACATATAATAGATACTTTTCATGACAATATTTCATCTTGAGATAAATTTATTTGAATAGTTTAAATAATTAATATTTATTCATACTCGCACTCGATAATAATTTAAAACTACAATTGACATATCATGCAATAGAAAATGACGATTTAGTGCATGTGTATTTTATACAAGATTGTCGTATTTACACAAATTTTAATTATTTTATAATAAATAATACACGTGATACATATACTTTGGTAAATAACTCAAGCGTTAATGAAACAATTGCGGTAAAAATTTCATCAAACTTACATATAAGTGAAAAAAGTAAAACAACCATGAAATTTTAGTAAATTATCGTTCTTACTTCGTATAGTTACAATAAATTAAATAAAAATATTTAGTATCGTTAAATTTAATAAAAGCTCGATGCAATATTATACAATTTATGTAACAATTTGCTATACATTTTATGCAACATCAGCAATAATCATTTTTCTCAATTGAATAAGAACTAATCTTTATTAAATAATAATTCGAAAATAAATTGTATAATATAATGCTTCCATTTCATTTGGTATAGTTTTATGATTAGTTAGAAGACTAGGATAATTATAAACATTTTTGAAAATGTATATTGAAATAGTCAAACTAAGCTTTTAAGCTTTGCCACTTTTTGTACAAACCAATCAAAAGTAACCAAAACTTTTATCAAGTGAGAAACAAAATATAAAACGATTTAATTACATATCATTAATTAAGCTCCAAAAAATTTTTATCAATACACTCTTATCATTTTCAAATGTTTTTCAAATTAGATAATCTACAATTTTTATCATTTTTTTTTTTAATTTTAAATCATTTAAAAATCTATCATACATGCATGACATACATGTATCATATGACGTATTAAATATTTGTGATTTTTACTATTAGAAAATAGCGCAGCTTTACATAAAATAACATATATTTATAAATATATATAGAAAGTAAATATTATTAATTCATTCGTTATAATAATTATAAGTAAATTGGCGTGAAATTTCAGATTTCTGCATCGTACGTAGATTTTTTAAAGATGAGTATACATCAACAATCAAAAAAAAAAAAAAAATTCTTTTTTGTAATAGTGTATTATAAGTAATGAAATGAATTATAATAATTTTTCTACAGATGTTTAAATATATTGTCGCATCACTGTATAAAAGAAGGTGCTACTTTTCATTATTTTGTAATTTCTACTTAATCATACCCGATCATCTAATGCTCTAATTTATTTTATTTCTTTACCACTCGAATATATATTTATAAATGAATTAAAAATGCTTGTTTACATATTCACAGGCGCCTCATTACATTATATACAATTTATATAAACGATGATGATTTGACTGACAACTTCAATGAATATTTTTCATTCTACGCTTTCCTAAATATGTTTTTGATGAGTGGACTGCTACGAAAAGACATGTTGCTCATATTTAACTAAAGCCCATTTTAAATTAGACATTGCAATATTAACAAAAAGTTTCTGAAATAAAGGAAAAAACAGTACATATTATTATTTGTAAAATTTTAGTATCTTAATGAAGAAAGCATAATACTTATACAAAATGAAAAGCATAATAAATGTGAACTAATCATTAAATAGTTAAAACTATTTTTTTATAAATTTAAAAGCAATTTATTTTATCTGTTTTTATATAATTATATAGTAATATTATTAATTTATATCAAATCATTGAACTCTTTTATCAATTATGTAAATAGATTTTTTTATATAAAATATTAAAGTTGAAACGTTGAAGTAGAAAAAATTTTTATATTGTAAATTCAATAAAATAAATTGTACAATATTATATATTTTTTTGAGCTTGGAAATTAGAATATTTTAATTACTGTTATAAATTTTTTCTTTCTCGGTGGTAAAAAATAATTATTTTGTTCCTTCTAAAAAATACTTTTTCACGGAAGTAGGCGGAAATTCTTATTTTTATTGTGTATTATTATTATTACCCTTCTCACGAATAAAAATCTAAAATAAAAAATTAATATTATAGGAATTTTCACAATCTTATGAAAGTATTTTGTAACTTTGTAATGAAACGATATATTAATGGTCATTAAATTTAATTTTACAATAAAAGACAAAGAAAATAAGCTATTCGTTTATAATATAATTTAACTATTTTTTTGGCTTATATTCACTGTTTGCTTTTGTACAGAAATCTCTTATACGTTGAATTACTTACTATTTCGACATCTCCTAATCGATATAAATAAAAATTGCAGCAGTCAGTAACATGAGATAAAAGTTTATCCTCTTTTGCTCGGCTGAGTTACCTAAAACAAATAAATATATTATAAAATTTATGCCTTAAAAGATGGTAATTTCACATTATTCTTTTACGTAATTTTAGTGATTGTGTAATAATTTATTTTATCAATTATCTTTACAAATACATTTAATATATTTAATATATCTTAACAAATTGAAGTGAATTTTGATAGTGAAGTCAAATAAATTATCTCTATATATGAAAAACTGAAATTATAGCTACAAGCTTATATGTAACTGTTTATGGATAGTTGAAATTGTAATAAAATTTAGCTAATTGGGTAAAGGTCATTATAATTTTTCGAGAATAAAATATGTTTTATTAATGCTATTTCTACGCCGGTTACAGCTAAATGAATACTTTTGTATTAATTTTACATATTATGCAATAATATATTTTAGATTGTTCATGTATTTTGAAATTATATTATAATATATTTATGCCATTATAAAATTCAATAACACAGCCTAATAACAAAAATATTACTCGCATACGTTGCTTCCAATGAAATTATTTATTTTTGAGCAATGATTTATTAACTAATTGATTTGTAAAGAGAAATAGCATTGTCATCAATAGCACTATCTACATTCGGAAGTCTAGATTGAATAAATTACAATATTACAATAAATTGAAGATATACTATTATCAAGAAATTCATGCAATAAAATATTTCTACCAGTTTCTACAATATAATAAATTTTATATTACATACAATAACGTTTTGCTGGCATGCATTGTATTTGGTATATAAATTTGACGATTTTACAAACAATACGAGAAATTTTATTGCACTGAATATTGCATAGTATATCGTCAGATTATTAGATAATAATACATTTGATATGTAATTATATAATTATATAATGAAGTTTGTTTGAGCGTAGATATATCATTATTAAATAACCCATAAGATCTTTTGTTAAATCGGTTTTTGTATATTTACTTAAAAAAAAAAAAAAAAGAGTCATTTAAAGTTATATGACATCAGAATATAAGTATTTATTCAATAGTACGTATGATATGATAGACATATTTATTAATATAATAATAAAAAATTAAGTTGCATTGAGAAATTATGGTTGATCTTAATACCTAATTTCGTACAAAGTAGTTAAAAATATATACGATCGTCACGATGATATAATAAAAAAGTACTAGTTAGATTATATGATAAGAACAATTAAAGTGAGAAACATTTTATAAGAATTAATCATACTATATTAAACGTATATTAATTAAAATTAGTTCCAAATAAAATGATTTTATTTTATTAAAAGGATTTGATGCGCATTTTAATTACAAGCCGAATAAATCAATCTTTTACATTATAAATTCAGATATTTTACATTATAAAACAGAGAAAATTTTCACACGAATTATTAGGTTGTAAAATCATTAAAATAGAGTACAATTAACACATAAGCCATATAAATACTTATTTTGCGACCAAAAAACTGTAAGTGTATGCGTACTAATTCGAACGTAACTTACAGCTGCGCACGATCTCATGTTATATTATATAATTGAATATCGGAAGACGTTGTCTGTGACGAAAAGGGTTGCTGCATGTAAGATGAAATTTTCAAAACCTGCTTCTCTATGTTTTATTCAAGGTTATTATCTTATCTTCATTCGGATTAATCGTGAATGCTTAGAGTACGAGAGTTGAGAAGGAAATTCGGGTGATAATTTCAGATGTGTCAAAGATCGATGGAATTCAAGTAATCACACTTTGCTTGCGATTTGTCTCCTGCTATTCCAAACTATTCTACTTTTCACTTGGAGCAATAATGAAAATTTCACGAACATTATATTACATTTGTAGGAATTAGATAACAAAAATATTATTATTTAACTTATTGCACAGTAAATAATAATTTTATTGTTACATGTTCCAAGTTTCATAAAATTAGCATCAGAAACTAGATAAAAATAGACAAGTATTATTTTATTAATAAGCAAAGAATCTTATAATTAAATTATGCTGTAAACATATTTTCTAATAAAATTTCAATATATATTTATAAGTGTATATATGAATAAATAAGATTCTATTTATAAATTGTTATTCAAATATATTTTTACATTATCATTATCACAAATATATATATGATTCTTAATTAATCGAAACTTTTCAATCTACGCATACACGTAAGTATTGTGTAGATACACACATAAATATATTTAGGAAATAACTCGAGTTTTTAGTAATAAATAAATAAATATTTATAAATAATTTTGTGTGTGTGTATGTGTGTGTGTTTAAAACAAGAGTAAGTCTTCTGTTGAATGTAATTAAATAATGACTTAAAATACGCTAAAAATAAAGTGATATGTTCTAGATAATTTTGCGTAATAGCTTCGAATATTTAATACAAAGTATACAATTTTAAGTCTACGTTTAAAATTTAAATATTATATTATATTATATAATAAAAAAAAACTTAATTTTATCCATAAAAATTCAATATATATATATATATATATATATATATATATATATAATTTTAATATTCTACGGTTAAATATCAATCAGTATTGACATAAACAGTTATTACGCTGTTCATTTTATCTTAGACATTTAATTTTAAACCGAAACCGACGAAAAAAATTAATAGTTTCAATAATATTGAATAATTGTAATTACACAGAGGATTATTTGTACACTTACATAAAATATCAACCATTCTCATAATCACTTTAATAAGCATAACATTGTTTTTTATTTGCTATTTCAATGAATTTATTCTTAATAACAACTGTAATCATCACGTGATTTTAATGATTAAAATATGATTAATATGATTTATTAATTATACCTGATTGTATTATATATTATGACTTATTTGCATATAAACAGTTTAAAAAACGCTAATATTACATGTATAGACCGTATATGCATTCTCTACGCCTGACTATACCACATACCTGTGCTACTTGTTGAATATAAATTGAGCGCATAGATGCAGTAATTACTGTGAGTGAGATTAGCATTGTTCGTGCAGTTTTTAAGTCATACTTTATATTATTCATTTTTTCAATTATTAATACGACATACAATGAAATTAAAATTATTAATTCAAATTACAAAAAATATTATTTGAAATGTTATTTATTTATATAACATATAAATATATACATTCAACAGTTGATATGCCTTTCTTAAAATAAACATAGATTTAAAAATATTAAAATAATTTACCTACGATACGATAAAATGTACAATTTTACAACTTTACAACATCGATAGCTAGATGAAATAATTGCTTTTTATGTTTGCTACTTTAATAAATTAAGTTTTAATTTTAAATAAGATCATTATCAATAATATGTAAGAATTAGTGTATAAGAAGTTCAAAAAAAAAAAAAAAAAAAAAAAAAAAAAAAAACAATTAATAAGGATTTAAGAAATTGATTGTAATGTACATTTTTTTATATTAAAAATATTCTTTGTTAAAGGTAAATTTATTTGTATTCGTTTATCAGAGAAAAATAATAATTATTATATTTTACAAATATATTGTTTGTTAAAATATGTTCCCTTCTTTGCCAAATAAATTACCTATATTTTGTACACGTATAAGAACATAAATTATGTATGATAATTTAAGTTGATTGAGTAAGTAAAATAAGTGAGTAATTATTATAAAATATTTTAGAATTCTTAAAGGAAACCTAAATTTATAAATCATTTTATGAATTTTATACATTTTTATAAAAAATTTATATCAAGTTGCTCATAGAAAAAACTCAAATTAACAACTCAAATTAACATTAAAATACACACATCACCAATAAATTGTATTACATGTTAAAGATATGTTTACACTTAAAAACTTAAATGGTACTTTGTGAATCTTATGGAGAAAATACCAAAGTATCTCAGTCCCCATAGACATTGAGTAATCGAAGAAATGGAGAAAGACAGAAGATGTAGGAGACAGCTAGACAGATAAATAGATAGAAAACGACTGATAAAAGGATCTATAGTAGAAAATGTCGTAAGTTTAGTGAGATGGACTTAGGATGACATTTAAAATTTTCAAAATTCTAAAAAAAGCTTTTTCTCAATTAGATCATCTATATCAATTACCCGTTCCTTTTGTTTTTATTTATCAAACATTAACACATAATAACAACTTATATGTATTTGCTACTTATGCGTGCCAACATGAATGTGCGAGTACGGATAATGTAAAAACCAAAAAGAAAAAAGGAACGTCTTTCAAAAATATAAGGACAATATTATTACAAGAAGGAAGAGTAGAAAATGAATAATAAGATAGCAAATGAGAGAAGCATATTTTCCGAAAGTCATCGGAGCACTAATGCTTACATTCACTTGAGTAAGAATTGAGATGAATAGCGACTAGAAATTTCAATTTTCCTTAATATACTTTATTTTTCTTCTTTTATTCACTCGAGCTCTGTTCTTATGCTATTCTATAATATCAATATAAATAGATATCTTTATCTGAAAATTGTATTATTACTGAGGTCTGGTCACACATAAATATAAAATATATACCATATCAAAACCTCAAAACCTTATTTTATTATCCCATTGCTTCTGAGAAGTCATAACTCTTCCATCTCTTTGACTAGTAGTAAGTGATTTATATAAAATATGTATTTATGTTTTTGCTTCCTATATAACGTCTCCATAATAAAACATTATTTATAAATTTCTCAAATATATATGGACTTTAATTATAAAAATGTTCAGTTGTCTCATGCACGCATTATATTATCTTAATCTATAATCTAACTTCTTTGAAATTAATTAAGCAAGAAATTCAGAAATGCTTCGTATTGTATTCTTTTTTTTTTTTTTTTTTTTTTTTTTTTTTTTTTTTTTTTTGAACATCAATAAATTCTAGTACATTTATAGAAGTTAAAGTTTATGTTAGAAATCAATAATACACAAATTGCTGGTTAATTTACCTTAATCAATATAGAGCCGATAAAATTTACTTTCTACTTAATGGTATTTTTCACTAA